TTTGATGGGTGTTATTTAATCTACCGATTCCAATACTTTATCTAACACACTGGGTGTGTGCGGAAAAGTAAAAACTGATTAGTTGAAATGCCATAAAAAGAAGATGAATGGAACCAATCCTTTGAATGAAATCAGTAAATTGAATTATGGCACTACAAATGAAATTTGAGTTGGAGGGGCAAAAAGTGAGCAAATATAGAGTGCGTGTGTACGAAAACGCACACCACATTTCAAATCAATTTTATTTACACAAATAATTTTCGATTCATTTCTTAGATGATCCCAGCACTATAGTTTATAATAAGTATACTTATTACGAACCTATAGAGCTCTGCTATAGCTGGTTCTGAAAAAAATCTGTTAATGTCGGCGTCTGTGTGCGTGCACAGTACAAACGAGTATGTGTGTCTTTCTTTCTCTTGAACACTTCTACAATGTAAAATGTAGTCCTTTTTCGTTGTTGCATTTAGTTTTTATGGGATTGGTTTTTCGAACTTCTATGTACTGATAATTATCCTTCACGTTCTACTCACAGGACTTATGCTACCCTAACAATAGATTTAACTCGAACTTGAAGTTTTAATATACGAATATTTATGTGGAATTAAAGAAAGACCGAGTGAGAAGCCGTGTTTATTATTAATGTGCAAAGAATACCTGAAGATGATACTAGGTATATTGTTTTAATAGCTCAACAAATTACATGAAAACACACCATATATACACTTAATACTCAGTTTATGTGAACAAAAAAAAACGTACACGTTCACCGCATTAGACATTCAATGAACACCATGGAAGTGGGGACAAAAAGACGGCTCGAAAATATTTCACAATCGCAATCAATTCATTATCGGTAGTTATGTTGTGCTGAAAACACACCCAATTCTTAATTGTATAATGTTATAGACAGCAAGAAAATACACGTTTCTAAAAGAAAGAAAAACAATGTTTAGAAAATGAAATTACATTTGCGCGATTGATAAAAAAGAACGCATTTCTTTTCCAAATATTTGCTCTTATTCTTCTTATGTTGTAAGCGCGCAACGAATATATAATATTGGCCAAACTCGAAGAGTGTAGCATGTGATAAATCGAAATAGACAGCAAAAATCACGTATGTTATTTTCGAAATCCATTAGCAAAATTGATAAAAATGGTTGTTATATCAAATATATTTGCATTTTTAGTTTTGAATACAAAAAATAGAATTTTGAAAGTTTTATTCAACATAAATCTTTATTTTCATCGAAATTGATGGTGGGTGCAACAACAGAGCAAGGCCACCTCTAAATAAAACCTATAAAACTCACGAGTAACAAAAGAACTTCAAAATAAAAAGGAACTTACATCCGTAAGTCTAACTTTTCGGCACCGTTTCCAAATTTCTTTCTTTACCGAACTGGTAGTGCAGTACTTAGACATTAAGACCATCTTAATGGGACCTATCAGTCGTTGTACTACGGTTCAAGTATAGTTGAGCTACATAATTCGTTATAAGAAAAATTGTGTCATTTGAAAAAAAATTGATTTGGTTATTCCCCTCTGAAGTCACATTTTGAAGTAAAATTGGTATCCATTCAAACGCTCTGAAAATGAGTATTTGGAGGTTTTTTGGCATGAGAAGACCGAATCTGACGCTGTTTTTGCTATAAAATTAGGTTTTGAATAAAATAAGATTCACAAGTTTCCATAGTGATTAAGTCATGTAGTTAGGGTGTTTTATTCTCTCGAAATTGATCGACCTTCTTCGCAAAATGTATGCTTGCAGTAACGTCATCAGTCAATCACAATGAAAACTTGTGGATCTTATTTTCGTGCCAAAATACATAGTTTCATGCGTCTTTTAATGTCCAAAAAACTTTACTGCTCTCAGAAATTAGAATTCGGTAGTTATTACTTTTGAATTAGTACTGCACTGTACCAGTGAATGTTCAATATCTTTCGGAAAATAAATATTCGTTCGGTAAAGAAAGAAATTTGAAAACAGTACCGAAAAGTTAGACTTACGTATGTAAGTTCCTTTTTATTTCTTTTCCGCACACACCTAGTGTGTAAGGTAAAGTATTGGAATCGGTCGAAAATTTGACATCCATCAAAAATGTTTTTTCTGGGTGTTTTTGGGGCCAGGGAACACGAATCTAGCGTTTTACTTTTCCGCACACACCTAGTGTGCCTCAACTCAGTGGTTAGCGTGCCAGGCTTGTGAACGTGAGGACACGAGTTCGATTCTCGGTCAAATTTCGGCCGGTATTTTTCCACCGTGATTCGCTCAGGAATCATCGGTGGTTTAATGAGACGAAGTTTGAAAGAAGTCTGATACTTGTGGAGTGCTTCGGAGGGCACTTAAAGCCGCCGGTCCCGTGTGTGTGCACAACGAAGATATGGGTTCAGCACAGACACACGTTAAATAGAGTGCCTTCGCGTAGGTTGGTGTCTTGGATATGCGATATCCACGACATCTACCGTAAAAAGGTAGTGCTGAACTACTGGTGAATATACCGGTAAATCAGTGGTGGTAGTACAGTCTCTATTGAAAAGAGAATCCAGTGCCTTCTGGAGTTTGGCATCAATCGGGCGTATTGCAGACTTGAGCAACGAGGAACTACGGATATTGCTGGATAGCAGACCTAGTACACTCCCCGATCTAATCCAATAATTCAAAATAAAGTATTGGAATCGGTCGAAAAATTAAAACCCATCAAAAATGTGTTTTCTGGGTGTTTTTGAGCCAAGGAACGAGAATCTAGCGTTTTTTCGATGTCCGAATGTATGTGCGTACCCTGTACTCTGTACCATGTACCCTGTACGCAAAAATTTGTTAACACGATAACTTTCAAACAAGAAAAGTAATTCAAAATCTGACTTCACAAGATGATTGGGCGTGCCGAGGAATAGAAACCATTAGATTTTGAGCGACTTTGGTCGATAGAGTGAAGTGTCATGCCTGGTGTGATGCCCATGAGAAAAATTCAATATGATATCGTAATGAGATGAAAGCTTACACACGTTATAACATTTCGAGAGTTCCACCCCTGCCGTTAAAAATATATTTTTGCGCATTAAATTGAATATCAAAAGAGAACAACTCTAATATTTAGTTTATATTAAATTGGGCTTTTTTTTATTTTTTGTTCATTTTTTTATCGTTTTGTTACACACCGTATGTTTGTTATCGTTGTTCTTACAAAATATATATTTATTATGTATTTTTAAATTTGTTAATTTCTAATTAAATAGATCTATAACGTACATATATACAATTATTTCAATTTATCTAAATCGTCTAAATAAAGGACTTGAAGAGTCGATGCAAAACTTCATTTAGAATAACACTGTTCAGAGCCAATTTTTTTTTTCGGTATCTGAGACGCAAGTATCACTGAATGATGTATTGCTTCAGAATTTGAGTTTTTTGTTTTTGAAATTCAAACGACCGTGATCTAATAAAAGCATTAAACATTTTTCCTGTAAATGAAAAATGTTGAAATTAAGTCGGGAAAAATCAAATCGGAAGTGGAAAACGAATTTTAGAACTGAATGACAAAACTACTTTTTCTTTCGAATTGGACGAGTTTTTTTTACAAAATCCTTTTACAGTTTTTTCAAAGAATATATGATTGGTTTTCGAATGAACTATGAATAAAGACAATGCATTTTCAAAATTCAATTTTTATCAAATGAATAAAAAATCAGTTCGAAAGTGTATAAGTTGATGCAAAAATATGAGATCAGGGTCGAACAAGTCAAGGATGATGTGTAATTTACGTTAACGTTCTGTATAGTAAATTGAAAATACACACACAAACCCACAATAAATGTTCATTCATAAAATAAAATTTCCCAACCAAACAACATTTAAATGCAGATGATGACCAAGGCCAGCAACGTGATTGTAATACTACACCGGCAAACGATGGGATCGTTAAACAAGAAGTGAATGACGATGACTGTTATTCACCGTCATCAATGGCCTCGTCAAATACATCTAAGACAAATCAACAAAATGTCAGTTACAATAAGGCATCTCACAGCGATGCAGTCTCGTACCGTGATCAACAACGCAACAATCTTTTGTCAGCCTCCATTCTGCTATCTAGATCACGTCATGCATCAGCTACTGAATTATTAACCGGTTATCTAGTTCCATGTCCTCTGTGTGAAGTACCGTTAGAGCCTAGACTATTTCGACAACATCTCGATCGGCATTATCCACGAGATTCGCCTGTGTGCCCTGTGTTAGAGTGCTGCAGAAGGTTTGCACATCCGAATTCGGTTCGAAATCATATGCGCATCAAACACACAATGCAATGGAACAAAATGAAATTAATGAGATCTTCCGGTGGCCCATTTGGCCAAAGTGGTGTCACCGATTACAAATGATCAGTCAATAGAAAATGCATTTGTTTTTAATTCGTTCTATTATTATCTGTATAGCTATTTCAATTTAGAACTTTGAGACAAATTCGAAGAAATTATCTATATAATATTGACAAAAATAGTCAGATAATATGAATTATGAAGTAGGACATGTATCATACAGTTCCTAAACAAGCAAAGCAGTTGTGAAATCTGATTTATTTATAAGCAAAATATATACCGAAATATGCGCTCACATTTATTTACCCCATTTTGATGTTATTGATTTCTATATTTTTATATTTTGGCACTGATTTTTATCTAATGAAGCTTAAGGACAAAAATATACAAAAAAAAACAAATTCCCAAAATACAAATTCCTTCAATTTAATGTGTATAGAAATTGTTTTCATATTTTTGATTAAAAAAAACAAACAAAAAAAAATTTGTATCTGGTCAAGAAAAAAATATTGCAAACAATTTTTTGTCGAACATTGGAAAAACTTTAAATTTTATAATATCAATTACGAAATAAAATTAAACGAATAGATAAGATTGTTTAATTTAATAATATGATACAAAATATTTATTGCTTATATCTTGCTTATATTTATATCTTGCTTTTATTTTCACATGAATAGTTTCTCGTCGTCAATTGGAAATGCGGGTTCGTGCAACTGATCCTAGACCATGTCCAAAATGTGGCAAAATCTATCGTTCAGCTCATACATTGCGAACTCATTTAGAGGACAAACACACTGTGTGCCCTGGATATCGGTGTGTTCTTTGCGGAACCGTTGCAAAATCACGTAATTCATTACATTCACATATGTCACGACAACATCGAGGAATTTCAACAAAGGACCTTCCAGTTTTACCAATGCCCAGTCCATTCGATCCCGAACTTGCTTCACGTCTTTTGGCCAAAGCTGGTGTAAAAATTTCGCCAGCCGAACTACGGGCCCGTGCCTCACCGACCAGTAGTACAAGACGCAGTGACATGAAACTGGAAATGCGTGGCCCGAACGATACTGACAGTAACATTGATGAAATGGAAGATGCAGAAGATTTGACAATGGCAAGCGGAATCAATAATAACAATATGAGTGGCCGATATGATTCTATGATGGGATTCAGTCATCCAAACACAACAATTACCCGTGTTGGTTCAGCTGGTGGCAAATCTGATAATCAGGATGGAAAAGATATACAATCTACTGGATCTTCGATTTTGGATACATACTTACAATTCATTTCAGAAAGCGCTTTCGGTAATAAAACAAATTATATATAATATATATATATACAGGAATGGGAATGTCATGTTTCCATTTTCTTTCAATGTTCATTATTTTTCCATTATTTACATTTTTCTTTTCTGATACACTCCCAGGAATGTCACAAGAGCAAGTAGCTGCATTCCATGCGGCCAAAATGGCACAATTGTCAACGATAGGTCAAAATTTTGATAAGCTTCCACCAACTCATTTAGATTTATCCAAATTGAATCGACATAGTCCAGATATCAATCGCATGCAAACAGGAGGTGGTGTAACAATTGAACCAACTAAAGTACCAACATCGTATCCCAACAGTGGTCGAGATTCAGTTGATATACGCCGAGACGATTCACAACCAATGGACCTAGGATCAGAAATTATGCGGCGAGATAGCGATGTTAACAACGGTGCAAGCAACAATGCCAATTCATCAGGTGAAGATGAATACGGTACGGATGATGAAAAGAACTAATGAATGAATGCCTTCGGGTTTGTTTTCAATCAAATTCACAAATCCAGAGCAAATGGTTATACTCTTTAATTTTAACGTTATTCGTAGAAAAATGAAATGTAATTAAAATACTCAACGCTTCCTCTTAGGCTAAACAAAAATTTTCTAAGTCTATTACGCGTCTTTAAAGCATTTACAATTTTAAAGAAATGAATAGATATATATTTGAAGCAAGTGAAATTAACGCACCATTAGTTATATGTAAGCAATAAAAAAATGGCAGAAAGAATAAGGAAACGATGAATAAAATAAAATAAAATCTACTTAATGAGCCTTTAGAAAACCAGTATACCAGTTTCAAATATATATATTATTCAATACAAATATATACTTAATGATAAAAATTGACAAGATTGGAGCGACTTGTGTACGCCATTCGAATGTCGTGCAAAAAAAAAAGCATTTACAAACAAACTAACACTATTGTATACGTCACACATTTAAAGAATTTATATGAAAAGAATCATCTTTAAAACCATTATTTTGTTGTTATTTTTGTGCCATTTTGCATTTTTTAACGATAAAAATGGGTGATTAAAATTTTGAAGAAAAAAAACGTCATTTCCGGAACAAATTATCTTTTGACATAAAATTATTTTCTTCAGTTGATTTGAATGATAATGATAATTTCTTAATTTTCTTTTAATTTTTTAATAAAAATACGTAAAACGCGACAGGGACATTAAATAAGTTGCAATAAATTTAAAAATTACTTTTTTAAAAACTGATATTGCCAACAGGAAAATAATACCTCACTTCTTTCAAAACTCAACCACAGATTACCTCAATTAAATATATAAATGCCATTTTTATACATACACACGCACATAAATTTTTTGTGTAACTGAAACAAACTCATTAGACTACCTCAGAACAAAAAAAATAATTATCCTATAATTTGGTTAAAATTAAGATGAAAAAACACTATGTTAAGTCATGGAAGCACAAAACCTAGTACTTAGCCATTTCAAATAATGAATTGTAATGGAACTAATAAACTTAGATAATGACAACATAAAATTACCCGAATAATAATTACTATTACTAGAGCTGGCATCACTTGTCTCTCAAAACCAACTTTATTCAAAAATTACAATAAATATCAAATAAAATGAAATCAATTATTTACTAAAGAAAAATCATATTTCAAACTCAGGATAGTAAAACGCGTTATTATTACCAACGTGAGTATTATAAAAAAACATTGAACGTCTTTTATGTAAACAATTAACTACAAAAGAATGCAATGTTCAATGGCAAATAATTGAACTACCTCTTTGAAAGAAAAAAGATTAATTTTTTTTGTAAAGCATACATGGCACTGAACATAAAATAAACGGGTTTTTAGTAATAAGAAATTAAGCCACATTATTATTATATATATAATAATAATATTAGGTAAACAACGTTTGCTTTTATAGAAGTATAGTCTGTGTTCATTTGATATTTTTCAGGTGATTAATAACTCACAGACAATCGATAAAATATCAGGAAAACAAGCAATCAAGTAATTTGTACAAATGTTTACCCACCATATTTTAAAAGTGTTGTTATAATAGAAATTGGGAAAGCCCAAAAAGAAATTGGTATTCAATAGAAGAATGGAAAATATCGCTTAAAATGTTCTAGATAATTCATCAATATTATGTTTTAAATAAACCTTTCAAAAAATATGTTAACCGTTTGTTTTATATCTGTGATGAATGTAATATATGGTGTCGCTTGTACCAAAACAATATTTTTTCAGAAGCGTTAATTTTAACTTTCATATTCAAAATTTGAACCAATTCGGTTTACGGACCCAAAAATTAGGGAGTTTGAAAGGGATCAACCTTCAGTTTTACTTTTCCGCACACACCTAGTGTGTAAGGGGAAAGTATCGCAATGGGCCAAAATTTACTGGACGTTTTCGAGTCCACAGAATCCGAATCAAACCGTTTTTAGCATGGTTGTTGTGGGTCTGTTCCACGTCGTACGTCGTACGTTGTCCTCTGTACGCAAAATTTGTCCATCGATTATCTCACCCCCCAGAAAAGTAATTTAAAATCTGACTGTACAGGATGATTGGGGGTCCCGAGGAATAGAAATCATTAGATTTTGAGCGACTTTGGTTGATGGAAAAAAATTTCATGCCTGGTGTGATACCTATGAAAAAGAGTCCAATTTTCGTCCAAGAAACATACTTTATGTAGACTTAAACACTCAAAAATAAGTATTAGGAGATTTTTTGGCACGAAAAAACCGAATCCGAGTTTAGTTTTGAGATACAATCAATTCTTGATACAGTTTCCTTGAAAAAATCACAAAAAATTGAATTTTTTATGGGAGCCATGCCTTTATGCTATCTCAATGACGTGAAACTTTAGTAATTTTTACAAAAAAATAACATTCTGAAATTTTGAAGAAATTTCAATCATAATTAGGGGTACCTCCCATACAAAATTTTTGGCTATGGGAAGTACTCTTAATTTACGTTGAAATTTCTCAAAACTCTCCGGAAGTTATTTTTTTGTGAAAAAAATAACCTGTGCAAAGTTTTGTTTGATTTCCATACAAAAATCCATATTTTTTATGACTTTTGTATAAAAAGTGCTTCAAAATAAATTTTATGCCCATTAACGTCACCCATTTATTTTTTTTAAATAGTGTTTTGTTAGAAATAGAATACTTTCAAATGTCATACAAATGAGTTCATCATGAAAGTGGGAAAAATCGTTTGCGAGTACTTCTGCTATTAAAGTAAAGAATATTTCGATGCCAAAAAATATGGACTTGAACTTTCCGCCGCTTAAAAGGCTTGAAAAATCGATCAAATATTATTTTGAAATCGCAACCATAAACGTGCGGAAAAGTTCGTCTTCCTCCTGTAAGACTCTTTATTTTTTCTTAAAATGGAAGGATGTAAGTAAATTAAAGTAAGTACCAAACACTCTTCACTCGTTTAACATTTATTCACATTTTGTAAATCTATTACAATTCAATTCAAAAATTCACTTTTCGAACTTTTTTTTACTATTGAATTAAACACAGTTTCGAAAAAAAAAAAAAACTATGTTGACCGTTCCCTTTTTGCTATGGAATTTGAGTCATATTTTAATACCTACCATTTTGATCGTTTTGACCAATCTTTTGGGGACCAGTGTAGACATTTGGGATCTATGCGAATTTTTCTATTTTCCATTGATTTCTTGTGTTGTTTTATTGTCTCCATGCTTATACAAATTATATATTGACCTTTATAGTAATTAATTAGATTTAAATTTTGTAACGTCGATATCACGTCCTCTTTTTTTATGCTTGTTAGTTCGCAAATCTCGCTAACAATTAAAATATACAAAAAAAAAAAAAGAAATTGCATTAAAATTCATTTAAGTTTTTTGCTTAAAAAAAAATAAAAAATAAACTTACTTGATTGTTATTTGAGGACGTTCACTGTCCCCCAATGGCTTTTGACTAAGAAATATTTCTAAAATAGTTTGAGCCCAATATGAGCGATATGACAATAATCCTAAATCGGATAATGGTTTTTCTGGCGAACCCGTTTTTCCTTCAAATTTTGATAATTCGTAACCTACAAGCAAATGAATAAACTCAGCTGGGCATGCAATGATTCAAATTTACTATAAAATACTCACTAAATTCAATAAGCAATTTGCCATAACCTTTTCGTTGGTATGGTGGCATTGTCAGAATACAGGCAACATTATAATCTTCGGTGCTTTCTTTCTCTTTTGAAAAGTAGCCAACAATGTGAAAGCCTCGTGGATCATATTCAGTCATCACGTAAAATAGGAAAGGATCCGTATCATAATAGAGCGTTTTATGGTCGAGAAATAACTTAGCGAGTAAGCACAAATTTTGTGCGTAACATTTATTTTTGCGACCATCGATTTCGAAAAAAGAAATCGTTTGCTTGCGATATATTTCATTACCTGTAATTATAGATTCTTGTTTAGTAAAATAAACCGATGGTTACTAATAAATTTCAATAAATTAATATGGATTTATTTGAATTTGAATGGAACAATGTTGTCAAAGCAACGAATCAGATAATCGTATAAATGAGATTTTTCTTCAGCCGTGAGTTCCGCAAATATTCCCGACATGGTGCTCGTTCGTGTGATCTGGTCTTCATACACCGCAAAAAAATTTAAGACGGATTCAAGCCCCTCTAGATCTGCGATGTCCACAACAAGAATACGATGTTCGATGATACGTAGGCGACTATTTAAGTTTCTTCAATATGTATGTTTTAGTATTGCCCGATGCAAACCATTGTCATATTCGTTAAGTTTAACATTTTGTAGCATAAACGTTCTCAGAACGTTTTGTCATTCGATCATTATTTGTATTGTTTACCGTAACATGTAAATTGCGTCTCAGCCAAAAAATGAATTTTACTCGTGAAAATTTTCGAGCGATTATTTTTTTCCACTTTCGATTGGGTGTATCACAACAACAGTGTTTTGATCAACTTCATTTGGCCTTTGGCGATGAAGTACCAAGTCTTCGGACAATTTATAATTGGTACAACGAATTCAAGCGCGGTCGCCTATCGCTCATCGACGAGTTCCGCGAAGGTCGTCCAAAATCAGTTGTTGTACCAGAAAACATCGATGCTGTCAGAAATATGATAATGGAAGATCGTCATGTAACATATCACGAGATTGAGGCATCCCTGGGAATTAGTGCGACCAGCGTATTTAAGATTTTACATGAACATTTAGCTGTCAGAAAGATTTGCTCTCGTTGGATACCACATAATTTGACAATCGCTCAAAAAAAGGCTCGTGTCGATTGGTGTAAACAAATGCTCAAGAAATTCAATCGTGGTGTTTCAAAATCCGTGTATTTTATCGCCACTGGTGACGAATCATGGATCTACGCGTATGAGCCCGAAACTAAACAGCAGTCGACTGTATGGGTCTTTCAAAGTGAAGATAACCCAACAAAAGTTGTTCGAGCTCGAAGTGTTGCGAAGCAAATGGTCGCCTGTTTTTTCGCGATAAGTGGTCATGTGGCAACAGTTCCACTAGAGGCTCGTAAGACCGTCAATTCTGATTGGTACACCACCATTTGTTTGCCCGAAGTGTTTGATGAAATAAGAAAAAACAACCGCCGTCGCAAAATAATTCTTCATCATGATAATGCGAGCTCTCACACATCTCATCAAACAGTCGATTATTTGACCGGTCAAAAGATCGATTTAATGGGTCATCCGCCGTACAGTCCTGATTTGGCACCCAACGATTTCTTTTTGTTCCCGAGCGTGAAGAATAAACTGCGTGGTCAACGATTTTCATCGCCCGAAGAAGCAGTTGATGCGTTCAAAACACACGTTTTGGAGATATCACTTTCGGAGTGGCATGAATGCTATGACAAATGGTTCGAGCGAATGCAAAAGTGTATTGATCATCATGGCGAATATTTTGAAAAACAATAAAACCATTTTCGATGAAACCCCATTGTCTTATATATGTTTTTGAAAAAACTTAAATATTGACCCTCGTAATTTGCAGAATAATGTCAATGGCAAACCAATCCGAGCGAAAGACGAAGAAAATTGAAAACCATTGCGGCGAATGAGGACCAGGTCACACGAACGAGCACCATGTCGGGAATTTTTGCGGAACTCACGGCTGAAGAAAAATCTCATTTATACGATTATTTGATTGTCAAAGCACATTGTTCCATTTAAATTCCAATAAATTGATATTAATAATAAAATGTATGATTTTAAACCTGGTGGATGACGCAGATTACATTTGACCAAATGACGTTCTAAGCATTTTCGACTTTTCCGATATTTCAAACAAAATTCACAAATATAAATGCAGGGCTCACCACACATCTCCTAAAATTGATATTAAATAAAAGTGTTTTTTCATTAAACCATATAAATAGGTAGTATAGTTTGAATAAAATTTAACAAAAATATTGAAATCAATGTTTGTATACCTGCGGATACGGTGCAAAATACCACGGTTTTATTCGATGTTTGCCCAATTCTATCATTTCAATATTTTTCATTCGCGTCACGACATCATCATGATGTGTGACCATACCTAGGGTAATAAGTAATGGAACATATGATGAAAATAAAATATATAGTTTAAAATCAAACACGCTCTGCTCGCACTCCATTTAAAGCAATGTATTGGGTTTCGAACACGCAGATGTGCTGCCACCTGGTATCTCAAAGTTAAGCTGCTATAAAGCACATGCTTCTTGCAAATGAAGAAGAAGAGGAAAGCAATGTCTTTACATAGGGTTGAACTTATAAATGTCAGAGAGCAGCACAACTGCAGTATTCAAAGTGCAATTGCCCTTCGAAATCAAAGCAATTTCCATACTTCCTGATTGTCGTGGTGTTAATGTAGGCGGTGGTTGACTAGCATCGTTCGAATCTTCACCTCCAGCCACCGCTGGTGTGGTTGGAATCGATACAGGTTCCGATGCCGTTATCTTCTCAATGGATGGCGTTGATTTCAAAATGGCCGATTGTTGTCGGGCCGATATTGGTGTTATCGGTGTTATTGGAGACGGTGGAATAGCATCCATCAATTGGTGTCATGTATATAAATACGAACAGGTAAGAGTAAATGCGAAAAAAAATATCCCACGAAAAATACATGCAAAATTGCAAAGAAAGGCAAGAAAAAGACAACAACCATCGTGATATTCATCGATTTAGGTTCTCTCTCATTCAATTTACCAATAAATGTGTAAAAACTGCCAACTGATTAAAATGTTTTTTAAATTTTTAATTTCTTATACTTACTTTTCGTTTGCGGTTGATTTTCTTTTGAATTGCTGCCGCCATCACAGTATTCCCATTAACCAAATCATTTTCATTTTCCGCCTTTGGACTGGTTGGTCGTGATGTTGTAGAATTAGACCCAAGAGGTCCCATCGAATTTGATATAGATCGTTTAGGTGTCGTAACTCCCGTATTTTGACCAGTGGTTGTGCCATCCTTGCGTGGAAATTGAACCTTTCTAGTGTCCAGATATTCTTCTGGTACCCAATCGTCAAGACGTTTATTAACTAGGTTTGAAATTGACAAATATTCAATATACTTGAAATTAACATATATTCGTCATCAAAATTATTTTAAAATTTGAAAGAAACCTACAATCAACATAATGAACATAAAACAATAACAGCCCCTGTATTTCACGAATGCTGATTATTTCAGCTAATGGCCAATCGTCAGTTCCATTCATTCGAACAGGTAAGCGACATCCTTCTGACAATGATAGCTAATAAACAAATGAAAATTTAATCAATGTTTGTAATACAAACTTTGTATACAATGTGCGTATACAACATAATCGGTTGAATGTAAGGTTATGTTTCTTTTTAGTGATCAACTTTTGTACCATTGTAATAGATAAATGGTTGGTTTTCTTTATTCTATTTTTCAACTATGATGTAATACTCACCGTGGACTCACATATTGATGACATATCCTCATCAACTTCCATTTTGGAATATTTTAGATTTTTAAGCGAGAAATTTGATTAAAATTTATATATTTGTTTAAATGTTAGTTGTTGTACTTCTTCTTTTTCTTTTTCTGCCTATTTGACGGATGGCTTGCCTTTGACTAATATGGCGCTGATTCGTTAAACCAAGCTATTCAACTAGTAATGTAGTACTAGAAATAACTTATTTAAATAACACGTTTAATTTCAAATTTGCAATTTCACAATACATTAATTTTTTTGTTGATTTTAAAAATATACTTATGATTGCAATATTATCAGGGATAGATGATTTTAAATTTTTCTCATTACTCAAATATGGTTTATAAAATGATTTTGAATTTTTCAGCAAATATGACGTCACATTCATTATTATTATTATTTATTTCTTTATTTTCTTCTAATTTTGGACTGAGAAAAACAAATCAAGTGCGTATAATTTCATTCGATGATGCGAACTCTGTGTCCCAATAACCACTACAAAAACGCAAAAAATGTTATATCGACGATGCAAGTGACAATAAATTGAACACAATTACAAGAAAATCTTATGCACTAAAATGAATGTGACACAAAATAACGATCTCGTTGTTGTTTCTTTCAAATCACAGCTTCTGATGAATATTGAATTCTTCTTTTGAATGCAAACAATGATGTTCGGCTTCGATGTGACTCACACAGATGTGACTTAATGTATATTGTATATATTATGATTTTTAAACAGTTTAAGATTTGTTATTTTAAATTATCGTTGTGTGGGGTCGGGTTCACATTATGCTGAAAATCTACTACCTCATTTTATTTCTTGAATGTCAAAAAAGAATCTAACGCAACATTACGAAAAAAATCGAAAAAGTGAATCAAAATATTTCCAAACCTTATGCGTTCAAAAAATTTCACATTGTCGGAAATTGTGTCACATTGATTTATTTCAAATATTAAAATAAAGTTAAACGAAAGATGTTGTCACGTTTAATTGTACAATCGCAGCCAATGATATCTATGTCATTAACGGGACGACCATCATTCATCCGGAATCAAATTGCACGTCAATTTCATCGGCGTGACACTATGACACGAGCTCAAAGAATCGAACAAAGTATGTGTTTTGTACTTTTGATTACTGTATCTGCAATTCTTTTCACCTAATCCTAAAATGTAAACAGATTATACATCACGCCAAAGACAAACTCTGAAGGAGAAAGTTATGACGCCAGCTGGACCAAATGCATTCGCGATTGGGAAGGGTGCCTTACTGGGCGGTTCGGCTCTTGGTCTAGGCGCACTGTGCTTCTATGGACTTGGCATCACCAATAACTCTACAAATATTTTGAATAACTCTATGTAGGTTTGAGTTCAAACAAGCATACAAATGTATTCACATACAATAATTTATGTTACACTGGCAGGGCTTGGCCTGAGTATGTTCGCGAACGCATACATGACACCTATGCTTATTTTGGTGGATCGATTGCAATAACCGCTGCCAGCGCTGCAGCTATATTTCGCACTCCAGCTTTAATGAATATATTTGCACAGGGCAGCTGGATTTCATTGATAGCCACCATTGGTTTAATGATGGGATCGGGAATGATTGCACGTGCAATTCCATATGAAGAAGGATTTGGAATAAAACAAATTTCCTGGATTACACATTGCTCCGTTATGGGTGCTGCTCTTGCTCCTCTTTCATTTATTGGTGGAGGAATTCTACTACGTGCTTTATGGTACGTGGTATACACAATTTTATTTTCATCATATATATTTCCATTTCTTATTGAATAATTTCTATTTTTCTTTTCTGATTAACCCTAGGTATACAGCCGGTGTAGTTGGTGGACTTTCTGTGTGCGCTGTGTGTGCCCCAAATGGTAGTTTTATAATAATGGAAGCTTTGAAAATAATAGTAATTATTTCATTGTAATTTCTTATAGATCGGTTTTTATTCATGGGAGGTCCACTTGCAATCGGACTGGGTGTCGTATTTGCTTCTTCTCTTGGTTCAATATTCCTATCACCCTCCACTGCACTAGGGGCTGGACTTTATTCAATGTCTTTGTATGGTGGTCTTTTGCTTTTTAGTGCTTTCTTGTTGTACGACACACAACGAATTATTCACAAAGCTGAAACACATCCAAATTCAAACTATGCGGTGCAAAAATTTGATCCGATCAATGCGTATGTTCTTCAAATCCCAAATCTTTAATTTGTTATTATTTATATCAAATTTCAACAACTACAACATTTTTTTACAGAGCGATTTCTATCTATATGGACACTTTAAACATCTTCATTCGACTTGTGAGCATTCTGGCTGGACAAGGTGGAAGTCGTCGATGATAAATAAATTTAAAAAAAGTGTATATCCGTTACTTGAAATAAATCAATCAAAAATGTGTTTCAAGTTCTTATTTTTCTTATTTATTGTAATTTTTCGTGGAAAAGAAATCAACATAGCTAATGATTCAATATATATTATATATCAGTAATGTGCGAGCTAATTTTCACAGGGGGGGGTGATTTTTCCTCTAATTTGAATACCAAATTTCGTTTTTGGCGAAAATCCCTAGCAAATTGAAAAAAAAATTCTTGCGCCAAAAAACCCTAGCAAATTCGAATAATTTTTCTCGACAATATCGGTTAGATAATACGAAAGTCCACGCTAAATATATAGCCAGACTTCATGATAAGAACTATTAACATTGTTCTTTAAATTAAACTAAATTTAATTTTTCATTTATTTGTTTGATTCATTGATTGTTGATTTTAATGAGCGATGTGTAGTGTGTGAACGATGCTATTCTCAGTTTTCGCCATCGTCGTCACTACCACTACCGCTATCATTACTATCATCACTGTTGTCTGACAATTCACTGTTGCTCAAATCGATTGCATCTTCTTCGCTGCTTGACGACCACCATGACTGATCCGAATCGTATTCAGCTTCATTGGAATTTTTTGATGTTTGATACTGAAATGTCAACAAAAAAATCAAATTCACATTACATGTATTCAAAAATTGTATTCAACAAATAATGCAGCTCACCTTTTGTTGCTTTTTACGCTTATTTTCATCAAATTGTTTGAAGCGTCGCTCTGCATGTTGGTTTTGTGTCTCGGCATCGACTGTGAATGCATCTGGCAATTTTATTCCAAATAGTTCATAATGACCTAAATACATGTACGATGAAAATTGAATATTAGATTCAAAGTTATATAAAAAAAAATGTGATTCACTGTAAACATACCGCGAAGTCGAATATTTCGACCGGCATTAGTGTCTCGATTCAATGTAACCGAACGGACTTTTGTCGTATCACCAATATCATCATCATTTCGTATATATTTCCATGCGATGACATCTAGGCGCCGACGTCGCAAATGTGTTCGTGGCCTCTTCACTATCGCAGCATTTTCAGCAGCCGGCACAAGCATTCCATCGACCATATTGAATCGTTTCAATTCGACTTTTGGTTGGCGGCCATCTTCGTTCGAATACCGTGGTCGATATTTTTTCTGCTTCTTCAATTTTTTCGAATTCTTGTGGCTGTAAATGAATGAACCACCATCGGGCAGTGCTTCTGGCGATGGTTTACACTGGCGACACACTTTGAACCGAGATTTCGTTGTCTTTCGGCCATTCCTCGAACCATTTTCCAGTACATTAAAGCAACGGCTACATAATTTCGTTGTTCGATATTCATCCACGTAGCGCACGGTACATTGTGGATGTTGTTCGAGTGCTTTGAATAGCAAACGAACACTTGTACGTACATAACCTTTGCATGGTGAATTTGCATGGGTGAACGGCGCCTTGCCGACAAACACAAATGTATGTTTACCATGCCCTTGTGCGACAATCATTCGCACCAATTCACCAATGGTTCGATGGATTTCAATCCAATGCAAAAAATTAGTCAGTACATACGCTTCGCTGCCGTACACATCCATGGCCCGATTGAAAAATCTTAACGTATGGTCGGCGTACGTTTTAAAATCGATCGTCCTGCTGCTCGGCTGTACATGGTTCTCACACTCTCGTTCGATGCGCTCACGATCGTCGGCCCTGTCGTCTTCAAGCGTACCAACCAGTCGATCTCGTTGTTTCTTGAACTGTGGCAATTTCGTCATCCAATGATATTGCTTGCTGGATATTTTAAAATTGCGTACGCTTTTCACTTTCACAGCGCCCGTATCATCTTTCTCTCGATCGATAATTTGGCCGGCGATGATCTCACGGTCGCCAACATCAAAGCTTACTTCGCGATCGCAGTGGCGTAATATATTTTGTAGCCGTTCTTTGGTTTCAGCATCAGTTGCATCGTTTTTCTTCTTCGTCTTCTTCTCTTTGTTCATCAGAAAAACGAATGCATTGCCATCAGTTTGTATTCGATTGGCGAATGTTAAGCCGGCCGAATGGCGTTCGATTTTACTGATGCCGAAATATTTACGCCACATGCGATCCCACAGTTCTTTGTTGCCATTGAACGGTTGTTCCCATCGTTTATTACTGCCATTGTTCTTTTTCATTTCCGGTTCCTTTGGATTTTTCAACCGCTTAAGGATTTCGAAGAGGCCACGCTTATCGATTTGGATGTAGATATGACCAAAACGTGCCTCCGGAATGACTTGATACACGGTCAAATTTGGTGCACATCGAACCCATGTATATTTGACACCTGGCAATCGTTTTCGTGGAACATATTCGGCAATTGGACGACAGATTGATTTCGATTTCGATTTGTTCTGAGTGATGGTTTTATGAATTTTGGCTGCTGCTTCGGCCTGAAGTTTGGCCTTTGCTGCGGCAACTTCAGCCGGTTGGTTCTTTTCATCTTCATCCATTTGTTTATTGATCATGAGACAGCGTTCACGATTTCTTGCACGACAATATTGCTGAAGTCTTACGAAAAATGGCACATGACGATACCAATTTGTTGTCAATTTGTTGAAATAACCGCGTCGATTCGCTTCGAAATCCATCGGATTAAAATCGGTTTGAATACGCTTCAGAAGACGTTCGATAGCTGGTGTCAATAGAATTGGATCACGTTTTCGTTTTGGCTTTTTCACTTTCTTTTCATTTTGTCGCTTCTTCCGTTTGGCCGCTTCATCATCGTTGGCCTTTTTGCGTGGCGGTCGTTTCGATTGTGGCTTTTTCTTATAGAAATTCGGATTCTCTGCCTCGTCGCTGAACAAATAGCGCATTGTATTGGTGATCAATTGGTAATAATCACAAAATGATTCAAATATGCCCGAACATTATTATACAGACTACGTATGATACACATCATGAAATTGGTGAAATATTGCCGAGTTGCATAGGTGAAAATGTTACCATAACCAATTGCATTTTTCTCAATGTGCTTCTGACAGAACTTGATTATAGCCTGATCCAATTTCCATGTTTTTCGCAATTTTGTCTTGCCATTGATACAATTACCATACACACCACGAAAATAACCATCAAAATAATTACGATTGTATTCACACGTACTGTTCCAAAATTCGGTACGAATGGCTGCTTCATTGTTCGATTGTATGATTCGCATGAGGCTACAGTGTACGTTGAGTGCGCCAAGTCGCCAAGTGTGACTCATGTCCGTGACAATTTTATTGATAATGCTAGCCAATTCATCCTTATTCTGTAGATTTTCATTGAATGACTTACGTTTGCCCATTTTGATCGATTGGTATCTTTCTGAATCCTCATCACCATTGTCGCCATCGTCATCGCCATCATTGAAATCGAAATCATCGCTGACATAATCATTATTCGATGTATTCGGCATACTGGTGGCACGAGTTGTTCGCTTCTTTGGTGCCGGTGCATTTGCAATTGTGTTTGCTCGCTTCTTTCGTTTGGCCGGTATTGTTTTTTGTCGTGCATTGCTAGTATTCGATTGTGATTGTATTGGACGTGTACCTGATGCGACTGTATCACCGGATGATGTTGGTGTAGACACATCATTCCAATCGGCAACAGTAGAAGCAGCAGTTGTATTAGTATCAACACAAATTCCAAAACCATTTCGTAAACGCTGCAAGGCTTCGTCATGACTCCGTTTGAATTTTTCCACCAAATCTTCGACTTTTTGTTTAACGTTTGAATTCAATTTGATGTTCCGTGTGAACTGATTCAATTGTGTGCTCAATTCATTTGCAATTGTTTCAACTGTGTGTAGAGAGAAATGTGTTGTAAATCATATAAATTCTGTTATATGAAATCAATAAAAATCTACAAAAAAAAACTATGTAGTCATTTTAAGCGATTTTAATATTTTACCGATTTGACGATGTGCTGCGTTTGAAGCTATTATTCTTGTCATGGAAGAAAACACATTTTGGCATTCCATTTCGATTTGATTGTGTGTTGACGATGTGCCGGCATTTTGTATATTTTGATGAATTGGTGAATTGTGGCTTGACGAATTTGATGGTCGTTGTTGCTGTCGATTGTTTTGATCGAATCGTACGCGTTTCGATTGTGTCGAAGTCTGTGGCGAGACTAAACTAGGCGTGTGCGTGACATTACTGTGTGCGTCGACAACATCATCATCATCATCATCATCGTCATCCGATTCGATGACTGTATAGAAACATTTTCATTAGATTAGAAAAGAATTGATTCGGGTTCCCTTTGGACCCGTATTTATATTGTCGTGTGTTTTTATTTTCAGAATCAAAAGAAGAAGTAGAAAAAAATATCAAACGAAAGACACAACACAACCAGCTATTTACCTTTCCGTCTTTTGGATCCAGTTGTATTTGTGGCTCGGTATCGATTGAAATACTGAGTTTCAGAATCGCTCTGTGACATGACTTCCAAACCAACTGTGCATGGTGTACACTGTTCTAATTGAATTCCGATCGATTGATGAACTCCGTCTTGTACATCCACATGCTCTTGTGTCGGCTCAGTTTGTTGGCTATTGTCCACAGTCACATCCAATGGTTGATTCTCTTCTTCTTCTTCGTCTTGATTTTGTGTCGGCTCAGTTTGTTGACTATTGGCCGATGCGTTGTTCATTGGTTGTCTTTGGCGCTGCGAATTGGCCCATTCAGAGTATATTCGAATTCTTTCATTCGTTTCATTAACGCAAGTACGCTTCGGACGCATCCTGAATTATAAAATACGGAAAAAATAGAAACAAATCGATACATATTCGTACAATATCAAAGAATGGATCTTGGACAACAAACAAGCGGAACAGAACATAACCAAACTTCAAAAAGCAAAGAAAAAAAAATTGAACATGTGCCGAAAAAATCCGAAAATCACCAATCAATTTAGAAATACTCATCAATTTGCAATCAATAGCGATAATTTATTTTCGAAACACGACAAAACATGAATTTACCTGATTTATTTTGGGACTTTGATGAATTAATGCACAGGAAAAATCGAAAAATTGTTCCGTTGGTCCAATTGACAATTGCGTCTCAATTTCTTTGATCGTTTAGATGATGAAATTATCAAACACGTTTTTTAAAGTTAAGAATATTTTCCAATTTGTTATCAATTTGTTTGAAATCACAACAAAATATGAATTAATTCGATAATTATTGAGTTTTATGTGATTTTGAGCACACTAAAAATTAATTACGGTTTTTTTCCGCCTTTGAGACTAAATTATTTCAACTAATCCAATTGGAGTTCGCTGTGTAAATGCGAAAGATTATTTGACATTTCGTAATAACAATGCCGACAAACTAGCTGCTACTGTGTATGTGTATGTGTATGTAATTGCGCATAATTAATTCAATCTGAAACAATGACCAATAGACGATGCGCCATCTATTGGTGATTCTTTTAATTTTCATTCGATTATATCGTTGTTGAAATGGTTATGAGCAAAAAAAAGTCATAAACACAAAAGTCATCGATGCCAAAATATTTACATCAAATTCAGGGACAGGCGTGTTGGATTATTATCAATGAAGATCGAAATACATGCAGTTTGGTTGTACGTGAACATGAATTGTTCAAATTAAGCCAGGGATATAGTGTGTGTTCCGTACAAACGGTATCCATTGAAAATGAATTTAAAAGTATTGTTCGTTTTGTATAATCATCGATTTTTAGCATTGTATGTATACAAATAACGGCATCGTTTGGATGGGAACGTCTGATTTGCAAACAAAATACTGTTAATTTAAAACAAATCAATCTGAAAAACCAAAGCAAATTGAATGGTGATTGTGCTTCATTTGTTTTACGATAGATACGATCATTTTTATGGATCTTTAGCGGCCAGCTATGAATTTGACACAAATACTCAGAAGAGCTTGATTCGAGCTGCATACTTTGGCAAAGCATTTATTGCCAGCCATAATCCAGATAAATACATTGAAACATGTCGATACTAAAATCGGAATACCTTTAACATATGCACAGTAAATTTGATCATGAATTTTTGTTGTAGAATGAGAATAATGCTATGATTTTAATTATTATTCTTTGTCTATGTTTAATCGATTGAAGCCACATGTTGTGTTGGATCGATTGGTGTTTCGCAAACATTATGTTTTGGCCATTCAAATAGCAAAACATTTAAAATTGCCGGAATCACGAATTTTGGAACATGAAACAGCAGCTTTGTAGAATTTTTCGCACTCTCGTCACCGGCCAATCGCGTGCTATTAGATAATCGGTTATATATTTGCCTAAAAATATGCATGGCGGCAGCGCCAACCATGGAAACATATTCACAACCCAACCCTGGAAACACATAAACAGATTTTATTACTTTTCATTGGTGTAAAAATGAAACAAAGGCGGTCTCCAATTTGCATGAAGAGTAAAAAACGTGAAAAATAGACAAACTACTAAAAAATGTTAATCATGGTTAGACTAAATGGAGTTTTTTTTTTTTTAACGGAGTCAGTAAAAAACCATAATAACATACCTTTGCTTGTGGAAAACCTTCATGAACGTACGTTGGTAGCCATGAAAGTAGTACAAAGAAGCAATTATTTTGGCATGCGTGTGCAATGACCATGGCCCAAAATGCCGATCTTCGAAACAGAAGTAGCCATGGTACCGAATCATTTGCACCAACATTTGTTGTGCACAATCGACTTGGTATCGATAAATTGATAATTCGATTTCGATCCGATGACATTGTATAAAATCGCATCATCAACGCCCATACAATGCCCAAAAATCCAATTATCCGAAAGGCCATCTGCCATCCAAAATAGTCAAATATAAATGATCCTAGGATGCCGGTCAACAGTGTACCAAGCGTCGAACCCGACGTTACCATTCTAAAGAAACTAGAACGCTCACTTGAATTTAAATACTGAAACAAGAACAAAGGGCTCCCTTTTAATAAAAACCAATTCACCACAGAAAAAAAATACTGCTCAATACCTGACTAGTGATGCTGATCATGCTGGGAAAATGAACGCCTTGTAAGGCGCCATTCAATATTCTTATTGTCACTATAAAAAGAATGGTGTAATACCATTGTCGCGGTGTTAGTACAAGCAATTCTGGCATCCAAAATGTGATCAATGACCAACTAATAGCCGCTACAAATATTATGTGTTGGCCACCCATTCGATCGCTAAAGTATCCACCCAAAACCTGACGATAGAAGAAACATATTTTTGGGTATAAAAAAATCGATTTTTTTCAGTGTAAATTCGAGATTTTCTTTTAATTCTACCTGTGTACCGTTTTGCTCCATCGAAATTCGCTAGAAACAGCTGGCAGTAACAAAAGGAACTGATGTTCGTGTCGCGTACAGCATACACGTTCCCATCAACAATGTCATGAACCACAGACGCTTTTCATGCCTGAAAAAGTCCAGAAAATTAACTTTCGTTGCAAGAGTTTCATTGAAGCATCAACATTCACAGGTGGACTGGTTGACTGGTTTCAATTAATTTGAATTAAAAACATATAAAAACCTTGTCCAAATGCTGATGTCATCGTTGGGATCTCGTAACAACGAATATTTGAGTTTTTCGTCCATTCTTGTTTAGTTGCCAGGAACTTGTATGTTGTTTATGTATTGCTGTCAATTCTGGGCCTATTATGTCAATTCGTCGACATTATCTTACGAGGGTTGCTCCATAATTTTTTTTAAAAACATATATAACACAGT